TGTATACATATATACACATTTTTTTAAAATTTTATTGAATTTTATTAGATAGTTGTATAGTCTTACGTTCTCATTATCCCTTCGTGAATTGTAGTTATGACACATTATATTTTTTGTGTAGTGAGCTTCATTTCTGTTATATTTACAACTAATACATACATGTACAGACAGGAAAGAGTAAGTATGGACGGCTGAGTGAATGTGTTCTTACATGATTGTTTATAATGAAGTCCCGCTGCATCCTATCACTTTTTTTTTGAGTTTAAACGCTTTCATGACATGAGCTAAGTTTTACCAGAAGGGCAATCCGTTAGATAAAATAGACTCCACAAGTCCATAGTATATTAATTTTAGCATTTCTAGTGAGACAGTTACACGTAACTGATTTATTACAAAACATATGCTGCTCAGTTTCGTTACAATATTTTCTATGTATATTTCCCATGTTAATTTTTGATTGATGGTTAGATCTGAACATTTGAACTGACTTACATGTTCATTGGACCTGCGATCCATTTTTATGAGAGGACAAAAATCATAGGAAATATTATTTTGCACATACAACATCAGATTTTCTGAACAGATATGTTGCATAACAAGTAGGTAAAGAATATCTGAAATCCACAAAAAAACAAAAAAATTGTTTCATTGATGTATCTTGCTGCAAGTTTTTCTGTAATAGTATCTGTTAGTGACGCAATATGTTATCCTTTGTGTCACATAATCAATGAATCATTCAGTACAGGAAAATATCCTGAAAAATGAAAGTTTCAAAGTCAGTACCGATATATAAGAGGAAAGGTTCCAAGGAAGACATCAACAACTACAGAAATGTATGCTTACAAAGTCAACTAGCAAAAATAATCGATTATTGCTTCAATTTCCGTCTAAGAAATTTCTTGGAAAATAATAATTCATTAAAAGGATCTCAACATGGATTTCGGGCTGGATAATCTACAGAATCAGCTATGAACGAATTATGTAATATGAATTATTCTAGCTTGAATACTAAGGAATATCCTATTGCACTATATTTTGATCTCAGTAGAGCATTCGATACTGTTAATCATGAGCTTCTATTTCAAAAATTAAACCGTATTGGAGTTCGTGGAGTAGCGAATAGATGGGTTTCTTCCTATTTACAAAATAGAAGTCAGATTGTCATGATGAATTCATTCAAATCAAAGTCAACCAATGTTTATATGGGTGTACCACAAGGCTCAATACTGGGTCCACTGCTTTTTATCATATTCATTAATGACATGATTTTATCATGTGGTTCCCCGCAAAAAACCATAATTTATGCCGACGATACAAATCATATGATATCACAAGATAATCTGGACAAAAGCATTCATCTGAGCAATGTATGCGCTGAGGAATTCTTTCAATGGTGCCTGAATAATGGATTGATTTTAAATGCTTCCAAAACATTCTTCATGGTTTTTCGACAAAAAAATATCAG